ACCATAACATACAGCCTTTTTCCATAAACCCATCAGGTGCCTTCAGTGAACAAAACGAACAGTCTGCTTTTACTGTCTGTAGAAAGATATTGCTCCAGACATATTGTTTCATTGCAGGTTAGAAATCCTCACCTAATTTCCAAACTACACTAAAAAAATCTTGGTGAGTATGTACCAGTGTTGTCCTCTAAACACCTTTCCTCCCTCCAAGCTGCTTTCCATATGGACTAACCTTGAAATTAAATGCTACTTTCTCCGAGCCCTCATAGCAAGATAACATAAACAGATTCTTTTAGCTGTGCCTTAAGCTAAACTCATTAAATCAGCCCAGCATTTATTTTTGTTCTTACACTCCAAATCATCTCTGACCACATACAATCAAATCCATATACAACATTCCAATGCAGTCCTATCTGTTTTGTACAATAGCATTTCTTAATCTTTATTACAAATGTTTCAAAGTTGCATTTTGCAATTTTCAATCACATTAATGTCACATATTCATCTGCAAATAATTGTACCTTCTCCTCTGAACTAGAAAAGCATAGAGTACGGTAGAAGCTGTCACTGATTTTCAAGTATACAACCTTGCACTATTAAACGTTATCTAACTTATTTCTCCAGCATACAAAAGTGTCAGTACTGCAATCTTCCTGCCTGTCAACAGAGACTTCGGGCCAGTGCCAAACGGTTGAATTTGTGTTTTCCCATTTTCTGTGCCATGATGTGTAAATGTAATAGGATGGAAGACTGATCTCAAGACAAATTCTCAAACCTGCCACTAGTGACTAACTGTGCTCCATTGAAGCCTCCTGGCACCCCTTCCTCAGCTGCCTCTCTTTCCACCTCAGAATTTTTGTCTTCGCAAACATATTTTCCAACACAAGTAGTAGTTTCCTACTTGTCAGTTTGAACAGATTCTGTGTATTGTATCTATGCTCTGAAGGACATTTTCCCATCAGAGAAACTGAACTAACTTCAGTAAATCCACAGCAGCACAAGTTGCCCAACTCCTCCTTCCATGCACTTTTGCCTCTAACTATTTTTCTTCAAAGTTTATCCTATAAACTTACATAAAATTTGAGTAATAGATACAAAGTTCCTTGGATCTCTCTCTCGCACACTGGAGTAAAGCCACTTGGCATGTTTTTCGCCCACAAATTCAGGCTTCTGCTACAAGACACATGGAAAGCCCTTCCAAAAAGGCTTTTTAAGAAGTATTATGATGGAGAATACAGCAAAATTAGCAGCTTGTAGATTTCTGGTCAGACTTTGCTGTTTATGATGTACCTATCTTCTGCCTTGTAGGAGATAAACCCCACGGTACTCCCCACCACCCTTTGTGTATACCACATGAACAAACAGTCCCAAACTATGAACATGATGAAACGGGGTCAAGGACTAAAAGCAAGCACTTTCTACAGAATTATACCTTGAAATTACATCCAGAAAGAAACTGGTCTTTAGTTTAAGAGAGCTGGGGAGGCAGCAAGGTTGCCAGATATTCCAGGAGCACTGCAAGACGGGCAACAGACAGAAAACCAAACAAAACCACTTACTGCTTCAATCCCACTCGCAAGAAACTTCCGTTTATTGATGATCTTCACCGCGACTTTGTTACAGGTGCTCTTCTCAAATGCCAGTTTGACTTCTCCACAGGCGCCACTAACAAAAGCACAGCGAGGTTAACACTTGCAAGTTGTTTACAGGAATCTGCATAACCAGTACAGACAAATGGAATGAAAGCATCAGATTACACACAACTGGAGGCTGCTGCTATCTAACTTTCTCAATATGGCATGTTGTCAAAACTTTCTCAGAACACATTCAATAGTTTGGAAGCCTGTTTAAACAGCAAGTGATGTCAAGAGCCACCCACTCAAAAATGTATCAGTAAGTCTGTAGAGCAACTAATCTGTTTGTACAAATGGTACCAGTGAATATCAAGGACAGGCTCTGTCAGCAAATCACACAAATGCATTTAAGAGAAGAGAACCTCATGAAGAGTTCTCTTAGTACCGGACTGCACAAATCTGAATAGGTATGACAATGCTTATTCTAAGTAGCAACTATATTACAGAAAAAAATCCTTGTATTTTGCACTCAGATTTGTTTCCACTTAACCATTCTCCAAATTCTTCATTGACCATCTTTTTCCAAAAGGTAAAAGAACAGCCTCTGCTCAAGACAGCCTTTCCCCTCTTTCCTGAGAACGCTTCTTTCCCATTTTGTCTGAAGGCCTCAACAGTGTGTATTCTAACATAAACCTCTTCCTTTTACTTCCAATAACTAAATCAATCTACAAGGTAAAGGTAAAACTTGTTAAGAATCTACAGACTTTATTCTCTTTTAGAGAAAAAAACCCCACAAACAGTTTCACAGTTAACGGGAAGTTACAAACCCAAGCCAATGATGGGAATAAAGCTAAAATCCTGCTGTAGCTGTTAAATAACAGGTTTATTCAGGTGGTCACATTCTGGTTTTACTTACTGTTTTTTTTGCAGCAGCTCAATGAACACTGATAATCCCAGACCAAGGTGCTAAACCCAGTAACAAAATGAACACTTAAAACTTCAGAAAGCAGGAAACTTACCTTCCCAAAGTCTTGGACATGATATATTTCTCTCTGAATTCTCGAGGAAACACCAACTGATCATCCACCATAGGATCAGAAAATACAAACACTAGGAAAACAAGCGGAAATGGTGTTCCCGTTATTAACTTTAAAACTTTATATAACAAGCAACTATGTTTCCTGAGCTTTTATAGTCAACAACATAATTAAGAAAGAGCTGGCTGCTAGAACAAAAACATACATATAATTTAAAAGCTAACTGCTGCTCTGGATGACATCAGCTGTGAGTTAGCAAGGTGGTTTCAGCACTGAACACCGACATTTTGGTATCACCTTCACAACAGTGCTTAAGGAACACTACGTTTAAGGACGAAAGATGCAAGAATTTTGATGTCACAGCAGGTAGTAAAGAGAAGTGACAATCAGGAAGGTGGCACCTTGGTGCAAAAGCAAAGACAAAGAAACAAAGCCCCAACCCTGCTAATTTTTGTGAGAGCATTTTAATTATTATGCAGCATCTGGAGTGTTTTCAGCTTCCCTTGAACAGCCCATTCCCTGTTCCCTCCAGGACATACAGAGCTACTGATGCACAGAAGTGCTTCAAAGATAGGAAAACAACTATGAAAGTTTATACTATGGTACAGTGGTCCCTGATGCAGCTTCTTTTAAATTTTCTTCTTTCCTGGAAGTGGATATGGGTAATTTCTATGTGAGTACTAAAACAGCAACTGATGCAACCCTAATGGCTGTATTTTAACAGCACTCATGAAGCAGCTCAGCTTGCAAGAAACATATTCAAACCACTGCAGAAACAACCGTTGTGTCACCACACGAAGAACCTACTTAGTTATAGGACATTTTACCCTTATTAGTCTGTACAGACAGTGCAATCTCAGCATTGTGAGTCAGGGGAAGCCTCTTCCCTTTTCCAATGAGCTCTCTGTTAACAAAGGTTCCATTTGCACTGTGGTCTTCAATGTAGGCAACATAGGAACTTCTTGGACCCATTTCCTCAAAGAGAAAAAAAAAAAGGAAAGATAACTGGGGAACAATGGCTTTTACTGTGAAGACATGAAAGACTATAGAAAATTACTATTGTTGGCTCAGGAAATCAGACTACTGAGGTTATTTCAGAAAGGAGCATTGCCAAAAGCCTTGTTAAAGGAGTCAACGCTGCATACACACCAAAGGCAATCTTTTCAATTATGCCAGGATAGAGAGGCACAGTTGACCTTTTTACCACCTACCCTGAAAATTCGGAAGTGCTTCTTGCTATAGTTCTGGTAGAAGCCAGTCTCAGACAGTCCTAGCTTAGAAAAACTATAGTCACAGCTTTTGTCTCTTCCAAACCAGTATTCATCACTCACGCAGTCTGTAGAGGAGGGAGAAGTAAAGCAGAGAGAAAACAAAACTGCAGGGAGTTATTAACTGTGGCAGTACAGAACGATGCCACAATACAGTGAGCAGGGTAACAAAGGCAAGATCCTTCCCACACAATCAAGGGTATTTGTCTTAATTCAGACAGAGCACCTTGTACTATCAACACCTTGCACAATATTATACTGATTTTACCCTCTTTAGCCGGAGCAGAGCTTCCAGTTCACCCTCAGCAATACCTACTCACATGATATATCAACACAACTATGAAATGAAAAATGAAGCAAGTACCAAAGAACATTAATGCCCCGTAACTCCTCTAAGCCCATGGAAGCCATATATGTGGTACTTGGTATAGACTAGTACAGAACACAGCATCACTGCATAAGCTGTAAGCTCGTACTTAACTTTGCTTGTACCTCATTTGTAAATGAAGCCTCTGCTCTCTACCAAACCGCCCAAAGCTTTTCTGAGGTGGCACAAATGAGCCCAGGGGCTTGTAACAGAGCCAACATACCCCAGTTGCTGAAACCTTTCCCCAGTGCAAAGAGCCGACCCCACGGCTGAGGAATAAGCTCTTCAGATTCCTGGTCTTCAGGGATGGACGGAAGCTCCTGGGTAGGAACAGTGTCCAAAGAACTGAGTGTCCCCGAGCTGGAGGAAGACTGGCTGGTGCCCTGGGACGCCCCGGAGGAGGAGCTGGCACCGCTCTGGGACTGCGGGGCGCCCTGCGGCGGCTGCGCTTCGCTCCCGCTCTCTCGAGACATGTCGGTTTCAAAGAGAACGTGTAACAACCGTCACTGCGGCAGAGGACCACCGGTGCCGGAGCCGCAACGTCCCCTACCGCCCCGCCAGAGCACTGCCGGCCTGCGCCACCTCGCACCAGGCCGAGCCGCCGGGAACCGGGCCGGGAACGGGGCCGGGGGTAACTCACGAGTGGCGGAACCGCCGCCGCTCCCGGTTGCCGCGATGCTGCGCGCGCACGCGCCGGGCCCCGCCCCACCGTGAGCTGAGCCAATCGGGGGCGGGCGGGCACGGGACCCGCCGGAAGCCGTATGTGGGGATGCGGGCGGTGCTGCGGCGGGTTGGCGCTCTGTCATGGCTGCCGCGTGCGTCGCAGGCCGCCCTGCGGCCGCGCTGCGGAGGGACCGGACCGGCCCCGCGGTGCTGGAGCTGCGGCAGCGCCCTCCCTGGTGCCGAGGGGCCGCCGCTCTTCTGCCCCGGGTGCCGCGCCCTGCAGCCGCCGGGACCGCGGCCCGACCTCTTCCGCCTGATGGCCTGGTGAGTGCGGGAGGGGCGGCCTCGGGCCCGGCCGGCCGCGGGGCCTCACGCCGGCTCCTGTCGTCCGCAGTGACCGCTCCTTCCGCGTCGACGTACAGCAGCTGCAGCGGCGGTTCCGGAGCCTGCAGCGCGCCGTTCACCCCGATCGCTTCGGCCAGAGGCCGCCGGTGAGCGCAGGGACGAATGGGAGGCGGCCAGTCTGCCGCCGGCGCGGCCCGCTCGGTTCTCCAGGTTGGGCGTGCGGCGCTTGAGGGGCTCCGGGCGGGAAGAAGCCGCCTCCCGCGTCCGGCTGCGCCGTCCTGGGTGGCGGCAGAGGGCCGGGGCTGCGGGCACTCCCCGGCTCTTGTTTTCCCGGTGCTTAAAGCAGACTTGCAGGCCCAGACTCGCGGCGGCGAATGGCGATGCGGGGCTGGCGCTTCCGAGCGCGGGGACACGTGCACAGGTGCTGGCTCCCCGCACCCCAGCTCTGCCAGAAACCACCCTTCCGCTTTATGCACTTGTGGCTGGAGAACGCGCTGCCTGCAGGTAGCAGTGTGATGCATCGGCCACTCGTTACTAACTTGGGACTGTTATTTATCATCCATGTGCAGGAGGAACAGTACTACTCTGAGCAACACTCGTCCTTGATTAACAAGGCATATCAAACCCTCCTGAACCCTCTGAGCCGCGGCATCTATCTGGTAAGGTGTCATTCATTGTATTTTGTCACCGCGCCTATAGCTGATCATAGTGACCGGGCCAGTAATACACTGAATCAGACATTGGCTCCATCGTTAACATGCTGATTTGTGTTCCTCTGAAGAAGAGAGCTACTAGAGATTGACAGGAGACCAAAAGCAACCTTGTCTTCAAACTTAATAAGCTTTTCAAATATTTTCTTTAACATTTTACTGACTGTTGCCATCTCATTTGCTGCTCCGGTCACCCTAATTTGTTTCCTGCATCACACACTGTGTTTGGCCATAGCTGTTCCTTGGAATTTCAGTCTGGCCTCAACACCTTTGCTGTGATTTTTTTTCCTCTGGCCAACAGCTGATTTGCATGGTTTACCTCTGGAGTCAGTTTTAAGCCAACTCATGCATATTTCCTGGAATAAAATGCAAGTTTATCAGCTATGAATCCGAGTGAGCCCTGTTCAGGGACTAAAGAATCAAGAAAACCCACACTGAAATAGATGTAAGAATGAGCATTTCCAAATCCCCGTCATTTCACAGCTGGAGCTGCATGGAATGGAGCCAGCACAGGAGACAGACTGTGATGCAGACTCTGTGTTTCTCATGGAAATCATGGAAATTAATGAGAAATTGGCAGAGTCTAAAAGTGACGGTATCCTTGAAGAAATTGACATTTTGATTAAAGGTAGGTTATGATATGAGGTGTTTATATAGCTCTAAAATACTACTTGTGTAATATCAGAGTCTAAGACTCTTTATCAACATATTTTAATATCTCTAAGTTGTGTTAGTCTTGAATTGACTCACTGCAAGAGCTTCTCCCAGAAAAAGTTGTCTTTACCAGTTTATGCCATTTTTAATTTAAACATCAGCTCTGTCTGGAGAAAGTCTGCCCAGTAGTACCTGTTCTGGTGGCAAAAGAGGGATAGCAACTGACTACATAAAGTCACTTACTCAGCAGATCAGGGCAAGTGGGCTGTTGTAAAAGAACAGACCACTCAAAATGAAGTTTAATAAAATGCTTGACTGACCACAATAAATAATTTAATTTATACTGACATTATATTCGTTTCACCTTCTTCAACTTAAAACCCGTTATATTAAGTGGTTATTATCCTTATACAAGCAGCTTCCTCAATTATATTGTTTGTGATGCCCAAAACATGGAGTTTGAGTGGTCTGTTTAATTCTTTGCAATAATAGTAGTGTGCCAAAAGCAATTAGAAAAACAAAAATAAAAACTAAGTAGAATAAAATTAATTGCAGCAGAGTGAACACCACAAGTAACTTAGAGCCCTGGGAAGTTAGTGACCGTTGATTCGCATTGCAGTTGCCATCTGTAAACCTGTTTAATCAAAGAAGCTTATCTGTCTGTAATTGTGATTACATGAATCACAGCGTTAAGACGAAAAGCTCTCTCAGCTCCCAGAAGAGGGTGAGGCTATCAGCTAGGTTTCTCAACACAGCCAGAATGCAGTGGTATTTAATATATTAAGTATGTAACAAAAAGTGAATGAAATGATTTGTTTTACAGTTAAACAAGAAGAACTGACCAGAGAGGTGGCTGCAGCTTTTGAAAGAGGTAGCTGTTCCTGTGAAGCATTTGGCTGCCGTACAAACGTGTTCTAAATGCTTAAACCCCACATTCCTACTGGCATATATTTCCTGAACTACAGAACAGAAACACTGCAAACACAAGTGTTCTTTGTATGATATTTAGAATAAATACTAAAAGCTGACCTTTCTGCTGATGCAGGAAATTCAGGACCTCGCATTACCTGTAAAAAAACCCATCCAGTACAAAAGTTCCAGTTAATTCAATCTGTACCCAGATAATCCCTTCCCATGGAATGCAGGTGCTAAAAACTGTTTTGGTTGCTTGGTTCCCAGAGGAGCTGGAAGGTCAGACTTACCCAGATTTAGCACCAATTCTGAGGTTTCAGACTTGCATTTGGGGGATCTTGCTCTACCAACAAGCTGTCAGTGAAGTAGCAGGTGCTGAGCACCTCAATTGAGGTGTTCCAAAGCAATCCAGGATGAAACCAGTAGGCATCCTGGTTTAATAGTGTATTATGAGTCCCTGCAACTTGCAGCTTTTAGTGCTGCAGCAGGTGCTGTCATTGAAATCTTGGGATTGATTCGAAGATGAAAATTCATCCTCTAACTAATCCCGTTTTCTTTCATTTCAGATGACCTTCAGGAAGCAAAGAAGCTTTTAGCCAAAATGAAGTATTTTGCAAACTTAAAGGATAAACTAAAGAACAAGAAGATCCCTTCCTGATGCTGCCTCCTTTACTGTTAATGTTATTTTCAATTAAACAGCTAATTTAGTTACCAAGTGAGAAAAACAGTGTTTGCTTCCTACCTTTTCTCTAAAATCTTTCACTCTGAGAGAAGGGAGATAAACGCAAGAGAAATCCAGCACTTACTGAGTAACAGACGGAACTGGGAAATGCTGACAGCCAGGGAAAGCTGTAATGGGTAAAGTAGGTAGGACCAGTGTACCACCAGTCACAGGTACAGACACGAGTATCACAGAGCACACAGACACTGGATGTAATTAGGATTTCTTACATTTTGACTAATAAAATATAAGTGATTTCTTTTGAGAAAGAGCCCTGGAGAAAATGGTGGAGATGAAGCAGACAGCTCATTCAACAGGTCCTTCAAGCTCCGTGTCCTCCTTGGCTCTGTTCTGTCAGACCATCTTGAAGGATCTGTGGAGGTGAACAGTATTTAGCTGCTGTTCTCTCTGCTTCCTAGTGCTTTTTATGATGGTGATCTCGGTCTGCCAGGAACTGACCTTCAAAACTAGAATCTTCACCCTGCTGCTCAGTTTAAAATGTTAAGATGCTAGTTAAGGCAAAAAAATAAACCCAAACTCAAACCCCAGAATCTGTTTTATTTGTACCTTTTTAGGAAAGAAGTCTTTGTAATAAAATGTGTTACAAATAGCAGTAATTCAGACAGGTGCTGGTCTGCCTTTGTACAGATACAGTGGTGGGACTAGGTTAGGAATGTCCTTAAGTCTTTCAAAGAAGTTATTTAAGTTGCCTTTTATTAAGTGTCCTCTAAATACACAGGAGGCGTGAATAAACTGCTTGTTCATGACACTGCACAGCTAGTTTAGAAGATGCTATTCATAATAGTCATGGAAGTTCTGCAGCAGTGAAATCCCACAGAAGGGGGAGATTTTAAAACCCATCATGGAGCTGTCTTCTTTCATAAAGCTCCATTTCCTTTTTATTTCTTCCAAAATTAAGCTTGTGAAATTCCTTTTTGATTGCCAGAAAAGATTTGTTTTTTGTCTCGGGAATTACAAAGAAGAGGAAAGCAGCCACGGAGGAGCACTCCAGTAGGAACACCAGGAAGCAATACTGCTTCAGTCTGTTCTGAAAAAGAAATTTATTGGAGTGTAACGTATTTCAAGTCCAACAGTGGTGTTTGGAAAATACAAAGCTTTTTGTTTCACACCTAATGCTGCTGCTCAGATAGTTTTAATGAAAAGCCATTCAACATATCCTTACCTTATATGTAACCTTTTACATTGGGGTTTTTTTAGATAATAGGCTACCAAGCCCTGAGCAACACACTTGGTAGTACAAAAAAGAAGGCCATTTAAACCCAACTGAACAATCCACAGTGTTAAGATTATCTGGTTTTTCTGAATGTTCGTATTTGCCAATGTTACTCATTAAAAAAAACAACTATCTTGTTGAGAAGAGTTCAGCTGAGAAGAAAGGACCGCTGGGTCAGGCTGCCCTGTCACCTGCATGTTTTACTCTCAACTGGGAACACAAAGCTGGGGATGAAAGCCTGCCCCGTTTTCCTAGTAATTCTGATCACAAAACCCTCCATACAGAGCTCTGGGAGCTCTCGAGCTGCAAACCATGAGCCCCAGGCACTACTTCTACTTCACTTTGCCACAGAAGCACAAGGCCCCATTAAGAGCTGTGTTATCTGGATCTTTGCACCTGATGATATTTTGCTAGTTTTGATGCCTTCTGTGGTCCAATTTTGCTCTGAAACTCAGGCATTACTTTCCCTTTTCATTTATCATGGTTTACTATTTTTCTCGGAAAAATAGTAAATCCTTTAAGAGGGATTGACTCTAGTTATACTTGGTTGAGGGGTAGTGAGCACCCTACATTTAAGTGCATCAGGAAATAACACTGTGATGGAACCTGAGAGATTAAACGAGGGGAGGCAATCAGGAAAACGTGTCGCACGCACTTACCACTATGAAGGGGAAGAGCATCCCAATGGTAAAGAAACTAATCCAACTGACGGTCCCTCCTATCATGTAAGCAGCAGGACGTGATGACTGTATGAACAGTTCAGCTATCAGGGTATTTGTTATGCCACCTGGGGGGTCAGTTTCAGAAACAAGAGGCTAATTGTGTATATATTCATAATGGCACATATTTGAATCCACTGCCCATGCAGTAAGTGTCCTCCTGAGGAGCAGTCCCATCGCAGCAGGGAGGTAGGGAAGGTAGGTAGGGAGGGAGGGAAAACCAAATAGGCTGCTGCTTGCTTCGTGTCTGACTGGACTGAACTCAAGGCAAAACAGAGACTCCTCATGCATAGCTGACCCACACTCTGAGGCTATGGAGGCAAAACGCACCAGCACACAGGCTCATTGTGTTCCTTTGCCAGAGCACAGCAGCCTTACAAACATCAGTTCCTGGCTTAGAGAGCACAGCTGCTGCCATCCCCCTCACCACTTCAGAACATGCATTAATTGCTGTGTCCTACCTGGCCCCAACCCAAAACTCAAGATGAAGGCAAAGATCGATGTCATGCTCACATAAGGCACCCACAGGTACAGTTCCTGCAGCAGAAGAGAAGAAGGTTTAGTTCAGATTTTGAGAATCTGGTTTTAAAGTCTGGCTTAACAGTTACATTTTCTTTTGTTATTTTATTGCCTCTAAGACAAACAGTCATTCATGGCTGTTTACAGCTGACTTATTTAACAGTATTGCTTCAGAGAAATTAAATACTGTTCATTTAGTAATTTGTACTAAATGGAGTCTAGTACTTCTGCTGAGATTTGGAATTAGTCCTCTGAGGCTACAAATCGACATGAACACTGAACACAGCAATTACGTGTTGTTAACATTTTGTCAGTTTATTCTGGTATTTTATACTGATCCATGAGTCAGCTGCCACCAACCGCTTTCACAGCATGAACAGGGTCCTTGTATATCATTATTTATCTATCTATACATAAATTTCAATAGCACCGTAAAGAAACATTAGCATTACTATATACATACGAAACTGGGTGCATTAGAAAGACCAGACTTAAAGCTTGAAATCCCATTATTCAAAAGCAAACAGAGACATTTACAGAAGTTAACAATCAGAACAATTAAACCAAGGCTTCTGCTCAGGCTGACTCATTCAACCTGCTGCCTGGCCTAGCAGCTTGCTTCACTCCAACCATGCAGAAATCACTGCAGGTAAAAAGTGGGGCAGGATGTCATCTTTGTATGGTAAGTGTAGAGCATAATTTGAAGTGAATCTCTCTAGTAAGTTTCCAATAGTTTTTGTGAAATTCCACTTTAAGTGTCTTTTGAATTTCAGCATCCTGACAATATTGTTTGTTCACTTTACAGTTCAATGACTGAACACCGATGCTTAGTATCATCACTACGAGGATTTCATCCTAAAATGACTTAACGGCTAAAATAAATGCCATTTTGTCATCACTTAATTTTGTCAGCACTAAACACAGCTGCAGCTTTAAGACAAATACATGACCAAATCTCTTATTTTAATGAAATACAGCTGCATTCTGCAGCTGATCAAGTCTTTCAAGTGCTGTCACTTTTTATGCTGCTGTTTAAACCTCTCTTCCAGCTTCTTTTGAGTGTCACAGATTTTCACTCACTACAGTCATATCATGTAATATTGAGTCCTACTTTATACCTGGTAAGTCAGGGAGAACGTTAAAACAATGCTCCAAAGGGTCATAAGGAGATAACCCCCAATGATGAGATACCTTCTTCCCACATAGTCAATCAGTAAACCCTGTGGACAAGACATCATTTTCCATTACTATGTTGATCTCATATTTTCCAATGGTCTTGTTCAAGAGGCATTAGGAGGTAGGATAAATTGCTACTTACACATGTGAGGGCTGTGAGGCATTCACAAGCTCCAGTGCCAAGCGTCACATATGGGATTTGTTCTGCTGAGATCCCAGCTTGTTCAAAAATGTAAGTTGCATAGAAATAAATCTACAACAGGAAAAAAAGTAAATACTAATGGGGCTTTCCTGGAAGTTAAATCATCAGCTGGAAACAAAGTCAAGTTCATACTAAACACACAGCTTAATGTGTGTTATATTTTGAGTTAAAATAAACAGCATAAACAGCAACGAGAATCTCTTTAATTCACATCTAGGTAAATACATTGCTATGATACAAGCAAATTTAATTATCCAACCTACTGAACATAGCACTTCACATTCTGAAACCAAACACAGCAGGTGAGCTGATCCACCTTCATCTACCTTCTCAGAAGAATGTGCAAGTATTAAGTCACTCTTTAAAGAATTCACATACCAGAAACACAGAAATGAGAAAAAAAATTAAGAGAAAAACACAGAAGTACCACTAAAATATTCTTTCCCACTTATCCCATTTCTCTGGGCTTCTCCATGTGGATCTTTTGTGTTAAAAAAAAAAAAGGTGAAAACCACCTGGAAATCAAATCATTATTAAAGCCGTTTGTAGGTATGAAAACTTACAGCATTTATCCCACTGAGCTGCTGGCCCATAGTCATCACAATGACAGTAATAAGCTGCCATCTTACAGCACGGTCAGTGAATAACTGCCAGGGCTTCTTGGCCTTCTCCCCCTCCAAGGCAAAGCTTTCCTGCTGTATGTCTTCCATCTCCCTTCCATACTCTGAAGAACCATGAAATCGCTTCAAAGCTGAACAAAGAAGAAAACACTCTCACAACTTCTGGAAAATATCTCCTTCCACCATGACCCAGCATCTGCTGGGATATGAAAACATTGCTTTTTGACTTGGCTTTTGCTTGCTGGTTTCCAACATTTTTTGCTGTGGTGGACTGCAGTTGCTTCCTATGTTGAAGATCTTGCCACAAGACACACTGGTCTATCTACTAGTACCTTTTCCAGACAGGTAAAAGTTCATATATTCATCAACAGCACTTCAAAAGAACAGAAGAAAAGCAAGAGAAGTGTTTTTTCTTTATTTATGCATAAAATGAAAATTGAACCAAATACAGCCCTATCAATGCTAAGAAGGGAAAACGTCCTTTGTTAAAGTCTGTCATTTATTTAGCATTTTAAATGGAAGACCCGGGGATCACAAGTGGCATTTTATGTCACTGTGAACTATATCAGTATTACCATACCGGCAGAAGTAGAAACACTGAACACATTTCTGAAAAATATGTATTTCATTGTCCAAATTTGTACACTGGAATCTTTTTTCTGTCCTCTCAATTTTATTAACTACTTGTTATTTTAGAGACAACCTTTTCACATATTTTTAACAGACCTTAATCTGAATTAATAAGACCTGTGTACTTATAGGGACTAATACTTTACTGTTGGGAGTACTATTCCACCTGGTCTCCCTGGCAAGGAAAACACTCTCCATGGCACATGAGGACCCAAATGGCCTCAGTGTCTTCCGCATTCCATTGTGAAAAAGAAAACCAAAGCCATTATTGTGATGTTTAGTTTCTTCTTGTAGTATGAAGAGAAGTGTTCACAATCAATTACAGACTCCTGAGTTCCACAATCCCTATTTTCATATAAGGTCACTGAAGGAAAAACATGGGCCAAAGAGCACTAGGCAATAAAAATGTCCTGTGTTGATACAGACAAAAGGAGAATCTGGAACCCAAGATACTCCTTGTACCCTTCTGAAGACACAGAGAAAGTATAAACACTGAAAATTACCTTTGACACAGCTCAGCTCATCACCCCTGTCGATAAGAAGATATCTGGGGCTTTCAGGAAACCATGGCAGGAATAGAAGTTGGGCAAATGCTGGTAAACAGCTGCTGGATAGCAACAGAGGCCAATACATTTCTTCACCTAATAATTCCCTGGGAGAGACAGGGAAAAAGAAAGGGCAGAAGAGGGGAAACCCTACAATTAGCTTATTGCTGTGTTGGTCTTCAGCACTATTTTCAGGTTCTCCAAAACTGTTTTCTAGCAGCGCAGGAAAACAAAAGCATATGGACATCACCTTCAGGTCAGCAGCAACACTTGCTTTTGAGAATTACACAATAATTTAGGACAGAAAGGAACTCAGAAAAGTGTATTAGTGATGCTGCTCTAAACTGAGAATATCTCCCTGGAGAGACAGCAGAGATGGTGGGCAGCTGTGGGAATAAAGTGACAAAAGGAGGGTTTTCTTCTTATAGGTAGACCTTGTAAAGTGTGAAGTTGATTCACTAATGCTGCAATGGCCACAATGAATATTTTGCAGGGAGCTGCAGGGAACTGGAATTCTTTGCATGCAAGTAGTACAAGTCAGGACAACAAAATGCATTTCTAACCTCAAACCAATTATTTGTCCCATAAGAATCCCCCCAGTCAGAAAGATGGAACTCCCCATGGCCATGCCACCTCTAAGATGTTTTGGGGCAACCTCCCCAAGATACAGCGGCTGCACACAGATCCCAACGCCTGCAAGTAAATGGAAGAACATTTTTCTATTAATAGATTTTGCTTTGAAACGAGTCACTGAACAAAGACATGTAGGAAATCAGACATGGTTAGTTTCCTGTTACTTTAGCTGCCTTCAGATTCCAAGTTAGACTACACAACATTTTTGTCATCGTACCTACAAAGCAGCACACAAACATGTATCATAACACCTAAAGAAAAAGCAGTAACAATAATTTAGCATTCCCCACAGTTTACTGAAAGTAGGAATAGGAGAGAATTCACCTGAATTTATGCCAATCAAAAACCTTCCAACAATCAGCAACTCAAACAATCCTGTAGGAAAACTGATCCCCATTAAAATGGAGGCCAGTATTGCTATAATATTATTCATCAAAAGAGCTCCTTTCCTAAACAGGACAAAAAAAAAAAAGGAAAAAAAATTAAAAAATAAGGAAATCTGCAATAACATGCTCTTTAAACATCTCCTTTCTGGTAATATGGAAAAAAAATGGGGTTTATACTGAAGAAAGGAGTGGGGTTTAGCTCATTTATGCTGTATCTATAAAGCATGCACAGGAAATGTTACAAATTACACAGTACACCCTTACTGGCATGAAGGCTGCAAATGCACATGTGGGACCTGTGTTTCCTGCCATGCAGCATGTGCATATACTCCTACTTAGATTCCAATAAATGTCATGGAAAGACTAGACTGGAAGGCTGTAACTCAAATCTCACCTTTTAAAGTCACATTGGAGCAAACTGTAAAATTCTCCTAGAAAACTCTGCTTCAAAGTGAAAACCATTTTTAGTCACCTAAGGTACATTTTCTCCCACTTCTTTCCATTTATGTACTTTCTATTCCAGTGAGAAAGTAGAAGGAAACATGCTGAACCTGATGAACTCACCTGCCCAGCCAAATTGCCATGCTGCCTCCAACAAGGGCTCCAAACAGGCCCCCAAGTGAAAACACAGAAGCGATGACAGACCAAAGAAAAGTCAGCAGATCTGGATTTAGTGCCTTGTGATAACGATTAGTCCAGGTTTCATTTAAGAACCTGTGTATATGCTGCAGAAAAGAATGATGAATGTGGAGCATTATGTGTAATCAGAGGCCCCAGTTTTAGCCAGCAAACAAAGACTTAACAGAAGAAGAAACTGCCTGGCCTCCCCCTCCTTTCCAGCATATTACATGTTCTTTCACAAAAGGCTTATTTTAACCTTTGTAACAAGCATATGATGCTGTAGCAAATTCAATTTTCACAGTTTCAAAAGAAAATAAATGAGCCAACAGCAGATGATAGTCATCTCTTTCACCATACCATCTGTTCAGATCCTCTGGACTCACCCACAAAATATGCAGAATCCTCAAGGCCAGTGCAAGGGACCCAAATGTAACAAGTAGGTGAAAATACCTAGAAGATACTTGGACACTACACATTAAAGTTTTTGACTCGCTAAGATCTTTCTCAGTAAGCTGCCTTTTACTGTAACTATCTTTTCTCCCTGTTATCCACTGACAGGACACATGGGAATGGTTCAAAGCTGCATCAGGCGAAACGGTGGTGTCATTTTACAGAAAGAGCGGTCTGGTCAGACACTGCAACAGGCTTCCTGGAGAAGGGGTCAATGCCCCAAACCTCTCAGCATTTAAGAGGCATGTGGACAATGCCCTTAGTAACAGGCTTTAACTTTTGGCCAGGCAGCTAGCCTAGGTTTTACGTCTGTTCCAACTGAAAATGTTATAGTCTGTTCTTAATGTTCTGGGCTATTTTAGTCAAAAGTGTAACTGGAAGATGTTCCTTATTTGGTCAGTTAATCCTTCTAAAACAGACTTTAACAGAGGTATTTATGTGGCCTATTTGTCACTTTTATCTGACACACAACACCTCTGATGGGAGCTACAAATTCACATGAAACCACTTTGGAAAGCAACAAGAATCCTTCATAGGAGAGGAAGCCTGCTTTGGTGCCATTGTGGTCACAGTAGAAGTGTGTTTGACCTCTCAGCCAGTTAGACAGGACACCTCGTCACTGTGGAACAACCCTGTGAACAAGAGACCATGGTTTACCTGGGTGGGGGCATTGATGATGGAAACATTATACCCATACTGAAAGGTTCCTCCAATTCCAACAGCACAAACAGCCAGAAACAAGGTCCAGCTGGGGAGCTAGAGAACAGAAGACAGTAATGAGAATGAAAAGCGATAGAGCCTTGAACTCACATGCACATAACATCAATGAGAAAATTGTAATGAAAGATATAGTGTATTTAGTTTCGAGAAGTAAAAGCATTCATTCAGAAAACTACACAGCCTCTCAAACACCTGCAGCAAGAGAAAAAAAATCATGCAGACTTTGGCCATAGTCACTGACATCTTTTAGAGATGCAACAATTGCAAGTATGCAGGTTCATTGTAAGCAATACAACCATTGCACTGCTGATGGCACAGTACAGCTTCCTCGAGAATAAAATGTACTTCTCTGAATGACAAGCAAGCAATGGATTAAGAGTAAGGGCTCCACCAAGCACAATAGAAAAAATAAAACCAGAGGTGGTACACTGCACACTCAGACCCTTCTGTTAACCAAATACTGACAGCATAATCTGTGTGTCTCATAGGTACAACCTGGAATCTAGAAGAGACAGAAAACAAACAAAAGTACCCCAAACCATTAACATACATCACACAACTTATGGTCTGTTATGACAGCTCTGCTCCTCCTCCTGCCCAAATCAGTCTGCTCACTACACTAGCATCTTGAGTCACACTGGAGCTTCCATGTATGCTCTGTGAACTACTTCCCTCCTGAGAGCTTAGGACTTTCACGCCATTTCAGAAACACACCACACACAAAAGTCAATTTGCATCCAATGTAAATCGTAAGAATCAGCCAACACGCTTTTACAGCTGCCGCTTTACAACACAGCCAGGAGTCTAAGGAAAAAACACCGCTTCATGAGCCTGCTCATCTAAACCTAAAAGTAGACACGAAACCAGAACATTTCACATGTGTGCATCACTGTTAAAGCTACAAACTCCCTGCAGGACCCATCTCCAGAGGCCAAGGCAGGACTTACCTTGCTACGTACACTACACCCTCTCAGCAGGGGCTGGGACTCCATTCTTAGTATGGACTGAATTCGATTTCCTTTGCAAAATTTAGTAAACTACACTACAGGGATAAAAGGTACCAAAGCATTAAGTTGTTACTCCGTTAAAACACGTTTCTGCCTTCCTCCTCTAGCCTTTGGTGCGCTCAGTGTCTCTCGACTCATCAGGACGGCAACGTTCCGCTACCGCAAACGCTCTCACAGGAGCGTTCCCCCTCGTCGGAGCACAAACCCGCCCGCGGCCCGCCGCGCCATGCAGCCACCGAGAGCGGCAACGCTCACCTGGCGGGGAGCCATGGCCTCCGGCTCCGCTCCTCTGCGTCCCGTCGCGGTAGCTCTCGGAGCTGAGCCCTAACGTCCCCAGGAGCAGCCCGCCCCAGCCCGAGGCTCTGCCCGCCACCCGCTGAGGTGAGGTCAGGCCGGGCCGCAGACAAGAGCGCCTCCGTCCGGGCGCTCCCATGGCTGCCGGGGCTTTGCCGCTCTGGGGAGCCTCCCGCTGCGAGGCTCGTGCTGCCCTAAGGCCGCCTTGAAGCCGGCGACGCCACCACCCCCTGGGGGCGGCCGCCGGGACTACAGCTCCCATAGTGCCCCGCGCGCCGCCGCCGGGACTACAGCTCCCATAGTGCCCCGCGCGCCGCCGCCGGGACTACAGTTCCCATAGTGCCCCGCGCGCCGCCGCCGGGACTACGGCTCCCATAGTGCCCCGCGCGCCGCCGCCGGGACTACAGCTCCCATAGTGCCCGCGCGCCGCCGCCGGGACTACAGTCCCTAGTGCCCCGCGCGCCGCCGCCGGGACTACAACTCCCATAGTGCCCCGCGCGCCGCCGCCGGGACTACAGCTCCCATAGTGCCCGCGCCAGTCTTCGCCAAGCGCTGCGAAAGGCCTGGAAAGGACTCGCGTTCTGGCGTTGTCGTCTACCCCCGGGCCCCGCCTGGCCCGGCCTACCGGTGAGCGCTCCGTGGGCAGCTGTTCTGTGCTGCGGCGCCGGGTCGGGCCCGGTGGAGCCCAAGGCGCACCGAGGTGCCGCCGTTCCGGCTCACCTTCGCGGCCGCGGGGCTTTTGTTAGCGCGGATCTCTGCGAAAGCGCCCCGGGCAGGGCCGGGCCGGGCCGGGCCGGGCCGGCGCCAGGCAGCGGGAGGGCCGCTTCGGGCTGGGGCGCTGCGGAGCCCGGGCTGGTCTCCTCGCGGGGTCGCCCCGCTGGTGCGGATGGGCAGCGTTGATGTCCTCTCTCTTTCCAAGCAGGAAATGGCAGCGCTGGGCAGGTCCTGTCAGGGCGTCCCCGCAGGCCCTGCTGTGGAGTTCCCGCAGGCGCCGGCCGCGGCCCCCGACCGCCACGGCCTGCAGCCTGCCGCCCACGACCGCCTACAGCACCCCGCGATGATGATGATGATGGCCGGGAACGGAAGCGACGGTACCGATAGCGGCCATTCCTCCGGCCTGTACCTCCCAAGCGGCTTCGATGTGGCCTCACTCGCCGCGCTGGGCAGTTACAACGAGGGCTCGCCTGTGGCTCCGGTGGGCTCCTTCACGAGCGCCGCGCACCCGCAGCAGGGCCTCGGCCAGTAAGTGCGGAGCCAGCGGCCGCGGCGAGGGGATGAACATGTTTCTCGGCTGCAGGGCAGCGTGAAACAGGTTTTCTTCTAGAGACGAGTTATAATTCGTTTTCTTGTCGTAGTGTCTCACTTGCACGATGTTAGAATTGTGTTGCACCCGTCTTAACGGCCTTCAGGTTTGTAAGTGGGGGAACTGAGGAGCTTCCTGAATGGAAAGGAATGTGATGAGGTTTACTGATATTTTGGCATGATCTTAAGTTCATGCACATTTTGCTTAACTTGCTCTTTCTCATATGCAAGCACAAAAAGCTATTCCATAAACTGTTGTTGTTTGGTCATCATTCATTTGAGTATGTTACTTGGAGACCAGGTATTAAGAGACTGAAGCTGGATCACTTGTTGCTTGTTGAAGCATTTTTTTCAGAAATTGGTCTTGTCCCCTTGTGGAAAAAAGAAAATAATGTAAAGGAGGAGAAATGAGCATGGAATTCTGCTCAGAAAACTAAGTAATTACAGCTGCCTTTGCCTTTTTTTTGGAACAAAGTGTCATTTATTGTCCCTTCACAGCTGGTAGCAGACTGCGACTGTTGCTCTTAGCGGCAAGTGAAATTTTTAAAGGGAGGAAAATACTGTTTAAAATCTCAGTGTCACTGGAAGATAGAATCTAAATAACTATTTGTCTTTCTTTTGCAGTGGCTCTGTTCGCTGTGGAAAGAAGCATAAGCTAGAAGAAGAGACGGAAGGGTAAATTAAATTTGTATTTTGTAGCCAGAAAATACTTAATTTGCTTTTTATTTTCGATAAAGATTTGAGCACATCTCACCCACAACATGTACAGGAAGAGAACTTCTATCGTTTCAGTTTGGAATTCTTACCCCAAGTTGCACACGAGCCTGAATCCCTTTCAGTTACCTAATGAATTGTGTAGTGCTGGTTTCCTTGCATGGGTAGCCACATTTTCTTAGGAGCAGCATGGATTCATGTTCTTTGTGGAGTTTGTTTCCATAGTGTGTCAGATCTGTTGATAGGCACATGGCTTTCTATTAACATTTTTTCCTGTAGAATGGCACGTTTCTCTTTTGACAGCTGTAAAATTACTTTGTTTCCTAGTTGTCCTGTGCGGAAGAAGAGACTGACAGGAGCCAAAAATTGCCCTTTGAATCCCAACACTGAAGAATGGATTCTCTGTGCAGGTCAGCAGGCAGCTGGGGAGGTAGCAAGTCAGTATGATGGCAGCGGTCCTGAAACTGCCATGTTAGAAATTCCCTGTGAAGAAATGGATCAGACAATGGGGGAACAGCAATGCGAGGTTGCTCGCAGGAAGCTTCAGGAAATTGAGGACAGGTAAATGCAGGGATTGAGTAGACTGGCTTTGCTGAGCTTTCCCTTTTTTGTGGGCATTATGGGGTAAATCTAGCACTTTAGCGGTGTAGTAACACTGTAATAACCTTCTGTTCAAGCACTTCCTTTTTAGGCTGCCTGTGGTGCTAATGGGTTTTAGGGCTGGTACTATGATCTGAAATTGAGGGTGCTAAAGCAAGAGATGCTGAATAAGTAACCACCTTTTCACAATCATGCAGCATCAGTATACCATAATGGGGCTTTATACTCTTTTGTGAGTTTCTAGAGCTCAAATTTGAGCTAGTGTTACTTGGTCAGACTTTGAGTTCATCTTTTTTCAACCAGTTGCAACTTGTTCTATGACTAATACTTCTAAATGCTCAAGACAGATAAGAATTTGTCAGCATAGAAAGTAACATGAACCAGAGATCTCTCTCTGGACATAGGCAATGAGACTGAGGTTCACCTTGCTGTTAAATAGCAGGTAGCTTGATACTGGGGTAATGGGGTGGTTGTGGGCAGTCTGCAGCAGTCATTTAATAAATGTACTATGCATTTTTGTCTTTGAAAGATTTCTGGAAATGTGTGCATTTATCAGTTGGTGACAGTTGAGGTAGTATTCTGAAATACCTAAAATGACCACTGAAGACAGATGTTAGGAAAGTCAAAACTTTGAAAGTTATAAACCAGGCTTTTTTTTTTAGATGATTACTCCATAGTTGTTGCATGAAGGGAAGCAAGGTACTGTTAGATCATTTCATTTTTTCACGGGTAAATCAGAGTAGTGATGTATGTCTTTATTATCTGGCTTTAACTGCAGTAATGCAGTCTGCTTTGACCTCTCAGAGAATTGTTCCCCATCCTTCCCAGCTACTCTGCTGAATTTTCTTTAAAAGGTTTACCAAAACCAAAGGAGATACCTCCAGTTTGTTCTAAGTACTTTTTGTGCTGTTTTAATCTCTGAAGAGTTGGTGCAAAATTGTTAAAGGTGAAGAACTGCATTCAGCACCTTTTCAGTTAAGATATGGGGAACTGAGCAGGTGAAGCTAGCTAGCTCTTGTAATGCGACCAAATGACCCAGTTTCCCCTGAAGTGAATTTATGTATTTTCTCTTAGCATTTGTCTGCATTGCACACTGCTGGATGATGCAGGGATAACAAAGCTAGCTCAGGTACCAGAAGTGGCACAGCTCCTCAAGTGGCTTCTATGCATACAATTGTTCTTAGGGTATATTGGCCCAAGAGAAACTCATGTTAACATGGCCCCGCTGCTTCTGGTACCCAGCCTAGGTTGGATATCTACACGGTACAGTGCAGTGAACAGACATGAAACTGTAGTCTGCGGTGGATGTGCCTGTTAACAGAATGCTCAATAGTATTTATCTCCCTCTTCCCCCTCCATTCCTAGGATAATTGATGAAGATGAGGAAGTTCATGCTGATGGAAATGTTAGCAATCTGCCCACTCTTATCCTGTCAGATACCCTTAAAAAAGGGATGAAGAGGGATTTTGATGAAGTCCTGACAAAGAAAATAATAGAATCTATGTAAGTTCTGGAGGAAATCATGGTGCTATATAGCTAACACATACAAATGAAAAGAGACGCAGTCTCATGTTTGTGGAGATGACCTTAATTACTGCATGATGCAGCCAATGCTGTGTAACAAACCATTCAAAATAGGAAAAACTGTCCTGATGTACAAGTAAACGTAACTCTGTAGTGATCATCAAGCTGTTTTGTACTCCTCACTTCTACAGAGTGAAATTTGTTGAATAAACCATTGTATCTTGATTTTCATGCATGTGAGTTTCCAAAAGAAGGTGGTCCTGAAGTGTGACCAACAGTGGTCTTTAGTTTGGTGGAAAAGAAAATATAGGCTTAGAACAAGAAGTAATGAAACTGGTTAAGGAAGAGGAAATTTAGTAGGGGGAAAATAAAAGGTCTGTGTATTCTGGAATATAGTTCCAGGCTAGCACAAAGGATGAAGATACTCACTGGTCTTCTGCATTTAATAGTTGTGATTGGAGAACTTATATTTAACTGAGACTCCATCCCTTCTAGGAGCCGTCCTTCTATGGAGCTGGTGCTTTGGAAACCTCTTCCTGAATTTCTCTCAGATAAACTGAAGTCTGCTTCTGTTAAGAACTTCAAGCAGCAGTGTATAGAAGGGTGTCAAGCTAAGCAGTCAACACCAAGAGCTGCTTTTGACCCACAGACTGAAACATTCCCCGAATCACAACAGACTGACATGTCTCCAGATCCATATGCTACTTTGGGAATCTCTGGGTGTGCAGAAGAAGAAATGGAGTTGTAGATACGAGACTGAAGACTGAGAATGGTGAGCTTCAGATGGGTTTTATTCCTTTTTTATTTAATTCCCTCTTTCTTTCTGATTTGATGTGTGAATCTGAAATTTTATTTCTTTTTCTTACTAACAATCATAAAAAATGGATTGGCCAGACACAAGGTAACTGAAAAAACTCCCAAGATTTCTCTACTCTGGCATGTTAAATATTCTTGTTTTTACTGAGGAGGTAATCCTTTGGAACAAGGAAGTAGCTTTCCATCTTGCTTAATGGTGGAATATCCTCTCAATTGTTCTTGGTAAAGCATAAAATCCAAATATTGAATGTAACTGTGGCTTAAGCCACATCTTTCACGTGCTGAGCCATTAAGACTTTGTTGCACATACTATGCTTGGTCAGTTAGTTTAATTTGAACTACAAAAGGATATGGAAAGGAAGAAATACTTTTGAGTTTAGACACAGACAGAAGAGCAATCCCTGTGGTAATACAGCTTTTCACACTATTTCATCTCTGGCTGGTTTGTACTTGATGCACACTCATGTAGAAATTGCACATTCTGCAGCGTGATAGAGAAGGAATGTTATAGCTGAGCATAAACCTCTTGCTTTGTAGAAAGTAAAACCAGCTACTAGCTTGCAAGGTATCTAACTTTAGTCATCATCTTTGGCTCATTAGCTCCTAAACTGTGCTTGTGGGGTTTTGCTGCCACCCTCCCCAAACAATGTAAAGTCTGGAAAAAAGTGGTTCTCAGCCAATTGATTCACTTACATTGTGCTGTGATTCTTCATATGCATCGAATTGGAAAGTCAGCTAAAGGCAGTGTAACTTTTGATGAAATAAATGGTATCCTTTAATTTTTATAAACACAGTAACCAAATCAGGTACCAGGGAGCCACTTTCTGGCATAAACAGGGTCAAATGCTGGTTATTATCTGTAACAAAGTCCCAGACTTGAGGACCTGAAACTGCTGGCACTGGTAGTGAAGATGCTTGTCTTCTGTGGGAATCTATACTTAAATTTTAAGCCAGAGCATGTGCCATTAGCATAATGTCACATAGTTTATACATATGTATGCCAAAAGAACTTTGTACCCAGGTTAGGGTGTTACAAAGGAATCCTCGATGAGTTATTGCTTGTACCTTTCCTCAATGCACAACAGTTCCATTATGTTTAAAATGCTTAAAACAAGACAGAGAATCTTATGTTCTGAAGTCCTTGAGCTTTTTTGGACATACGTGAATTGAGGCTTTTTGTAAGGAATTCCTTTCAGGATAATAGTTTCTGTTCAGTTTTAGCATCCCATTCTGTTATTGACATCTTGCCAGCATAAAAGGGCAAGTACACAGCTGACACCAGAAGCTTTGTTCAGAAGATACCCCTATTTGTTAAACCCTTGTCTATCTTACTGCTCTTGTTAAAGGTGGTGTGAAATTTGCTGTCTCTTACTAAAACATTTCAGAGTATCACTCAAACCATTTCAACACTTGACTAGGTATTACCCTGCTAACCAACATATAATTTGATTATTCTGAAGCTATTATTAAATTGGGAAATGCGTGCAACTTTATTTTGCTATTATTTCTAATTTCATTTCAAGGTCTTTTATAAATCTCTTGCATGTACTGTGTAAAATTTCTCATGTATTATTAAGCTGCTGAGCGTGCTTAAAATCTACAGCTTTTGACATACTACACAGTTTGAGTATAAAGTCAGACAGTATACTTTGGAGAAGGCTGTTGTCACTGTGGGCAAAAAATGTAGTACCTCCAAATACTTACATGTTTCTAAGCTTGCAAGATTATAGTGAAAGTTCAAGGTTGGAACTGTTTTAGCTGATAGCTCTGAATCCTAAATAAACTGAAGAGATAAATAATTCAAAACCATTTCAGCAACGCTAAAACCAGCAAGAGGGTGTAGAAAACTGGGAGGCCAAAATAAGTCAAATCTAGAGGCAGGGTTTCCTCTTAAAAATGAAAATTGCTTATCAAATTTGCAGAATACATTCTTATAGATGGCTTTTAACCTTACTTTCTTCCTGTTACATTTGTACCAAAGGCTGACTTTCAAAGACGCATTTCCTCTTAATTTTTTTGATGCTAATACAGCACCACTGATTCCTGTTATTCAGCCATCTGAAACAGTAATACAGTGGTGAGCTATTGACAGAGACCAAGATGTGGGGAGAAAACCCTGTGTCCAAGCAGTGCGCTTTGGTATAAAACATGATTTTCATAATTAATTTCTGCCCTTGCAATAGAAGAGAACAGTAAGATAAAGAAGGAATTAAGGGGGAAGAGAGATTCTTCTTGTAGCCATCTTCTGCAGAGGGCAAGAGAGAATCAGCTGTGGGGTATTTGCAGACTTCTGTGTTTATAACAGTTTCATTTGTTATTAGCTTCCTTTAAAGGTTTTATTCATGCTGTTTACAAGTGGGATGGCAAATTAATGCAGTATTAGGAAAAACTTTATTTTGAAATATGATCTGATTGTGGTCTGTCTTCTCAGGGGACCAAATCACCCTTTGTATGTCCGTTTGCAATAAATTTTCTAAAATATTTTTTAGATGGCTGTGTTTCATTCCTAACAAAAGTGAACACCTTGAGAGCGTATATCCAGTCCTTCAGTTGGAGGGTAAAATACTCTTCAGCCAAGAAGATCTGTAATTTAACTACATAGTTCCAAGAGCATGTCACAGTGTTCAGCAGGAGCATAGCAGTAGGGTGGGAGAAACCCAAAGCTGCCAGAAAGTTCTAAATATGTCATGCCACAAATGTTTGACTATTAAATTCGCATTTTATTTTATATGTAACACTTCGCTCATCCACTGAACATCTGCTTCAAGCAACAATTTGGACTCTCAGAAGTTCTAACTTTTCTAATGTCAGTTATGCTATACTACACAGTTGTCATTTTTACTGCTGTTCAGTGCTCAGACAGAATGCTTTATTCCAAGCTAGGTTATTCATTTGTATAAAAAGCAACCTTATTACCTTGGTTAGTAACCAGTACCCTCTTGTCCCATTCCCCATTTTCCTTCTTCCCTCACCTCAAGCTATTTTCTGTCAAAGTCTATTGCACAGCATGACAACTGAAGCCAGGAGCAGTTCAGCAAACCCTTGCAACAGCTCTCACTTTCAGAATAAAACTCAGTTCTTCCTTCATGGTTCCAGTTTCAGCTCTAGTTCAAGTTGGTTTAATGCTGCAATGTTGGAACAAATGGATAGGGACAACAAAAAAGTCCTCGTGTTACTTGAAATTAGCTCCTGCAAAGTTAATTTTATGCTTCAGGAATTCACGTGGAACACAATCTTCACCTTTTTTCATCCTATGTATGTCACACAGCTTCAGTACCACTGGGCACCACTTGAAGTGCACCCACCTTGACTAAAACTGAGCATTTTGAACGGCTTTACTGATGAACAGGAAGATATTACAATAATTGCATTCAGGTATCAGGCTACTGCCAACCACATTCCCTATTCAGGCTGCAGATTCTGCTCTATCAGCTCCAGCCATCATACAAACCCATCTGTCTCAAACAGTTTGCAACATCAAGTGCTCTCATAAGCTGCCAGCAGCACTTCTGTACACTACAGAAGTGCTGCTGGATTGGTGCATTAAGGTCATTTAATGACAAGGCACCAAGACCTAATCTGCTAAAGTTTCAAATTCTGCAAGGCCCGCATACTCTCTCCTCCCCACTGAGATCCAAGGCAAAAAAGGAACAGTGAGCTGCACTGCACTTTAATTGCACCAACAGTTAAATATTAAATGGAGAAAGCAACTCTACATAGCAAATGTAAAACAAATATTTACATAGTAAATCTGTAAGATACACAGACTAGTTTCAACACCACTGTCTATACTTGGAGTATCTGATTGCAGTTTTGGGGGTTAAAATTACTTTAAATTGAAAACAAGCTTTTTCAGGTTCATACAGAACTGGCAAGTTTTGAGAAACCACCTTTTCCTCCCTCGTAAGCCAACAATGATGGGGGGGTAGGACAGGGCACCCTGGGCTTTTTGATACCAGCAGAAATGCACTGGCCATCACTTCATTTACTAGCACAGGTAGAAGTTAGCAACACTTCCCTGAATGCACTGGATTTCCACCCCCACCCCAAAGGGGCTTATCCTGTTATCCTGTTTATCCAACGGGAGTTAACACTACTGGGTTAGACACTGATCAGCTGGGGAAAGAGTTCATTAGCAAAGCTATCCTCCCAAGCATGGTCAGTGTCAAGTGGAGAGGACATGTCACTGAAGGGCGACAGGGATCCTTCATATCCAGAGTCACTACAGGCATCCAACAGAGAGCTTGAGGCTGCAAGACTATGATGAGAGGAAAGCAGGTGAGAGGTACCCAGTTCAGGCATGAAGCTGTCTACTGGTTCCTCCTTCACAGATACTGGCACTTTGGGGATAACTTGGTCTTCAGATGGAGAGAGAGATACTTCCTCAATTTTCACTAGCATATTGGTTTGATTGCCCATTTTAACAGGGATCTCCAGTATCAGGGGCTTGGTGTATACATGATCAAACCTTATGAGTTCATTAATGGCCTCCAGCTTAGCTGATGGGGACCCCAAAGAGGGAGAGGGGGAGGCCGGTATGGAACTTGTTTCTCCACAGGTCTGTTCCTCCAGCTTTTCCAGGCACATTGACTCTGAATCAGCGTATTTAAGAAACATCTCTGGGTCCAGACTGTCCAGAAAGCCCAATAGGAGATCAGACTGCAGAACAAAATACTGTTTTAGAAAGAGCCCACTGCTGTTACAGCAGAACATCAGTTGCTACATCTATTAACCTTCATCTGGAAGTTAAAACATGCTAACACAATCACAGAACTGCAAGTTACACCAAGAACACTGCTGTAAGAACAGTGAAAGCAATTACTTCTGTTTTGTAAGTTCTTAGTCTATCAGCCTTTTTTTGTAGGGGCACTGACAATCCCCATACAATTCTACATGTATTTTATATTCACAGCCTATTAGAAACTCCTCAAGATCTTGGACCCATCAGGTACAAACATATTATCCTGCTGGCTTCACAGAGCAGGTACCAGAGCCTGGTGTGATCAGACCTGCCCATGACTAAAGCTGCAGGTCTAGGGGTGGCAGGAGAGGTGTTTGTGCCTTGCTCCTGCCCTTACATATCTGGTAGTCATTGATAAGGGTCAGGTTTCAAGTTCAAACAGCTTTGCCAACACATCAGCAAAATGATAAAGTTTGTTTTCAACAAGAGTAAAACCGCAGTATGCTTTTGGCATTTGTACACTTTTGCTGTAAGAGCTAAAAGACTGTTTCAGGCAACAGCCTATCACATTTAATGGAAACTGGACTTGTTAAAGTTGTATGAACCCCTGTACTCACTGGATACAGCCTAACATAGCTGTTCTGAGCCACAGGTGTGGCATTCCAAGAAGTGGAAAACAAACAATGAAAAGTCATCAACTGACTTCAGATAAAGAAGTTACAATACTAGTTTCAAATCCACAGTGGTTCTGAATTTCATGGGTGTTCTAGGTAGGAGCAGATGCTCACCTCTGAGTCTGAAGAGTCACTGCCATCAGAATCCATGTGGAAATTATCAGAAATGGTGACTGCTGGGCCTGCACCTGCTGCAGAGGAACACGTAGTCTGAGTGCTGCGGACTCAGCGGACCCGGTCACCAATCTAATCTCATCCACCTGTGATTCCTTCATAACCTGTGCCAGGGAAAACATCCAGTCAGTCACTGCAAATGTTCTGGCTGATAGTGCACACACACTCCTGCAGCTCACACAAATGCTTCTACCATTAGATTACCCATTTATTTTTGGGCAATAGGAACCTGAAGGTAAGACCAAAGTTGGCTCAGACTTCCATATATCTGCAAAATCACTTAAGTGAGAGCCAGACCCCCTCCACTATACACCATTCTTTCGAGACTGACCCTTATGAATGGAGCAGCAACTACTTCTAGAACAAAACAGAGCGATGACATAATCTCGAGCCAACTGGGAACTATTCAGCTTGCTATCTCCCACACCACCGCTGCAGGGCTGCGTATCTGCTCGGTGTGGGAAAGCCTTCACTTGGAGGACAAGAGGGTTTGTGGGACATGAAGCGACCTCTCCATAGCACGGCAGCAACAGCCCGAGGGCTCTCGGCACGGGGATCACTCCTCATCGCCACGCATGCGCCTTCCAGGAGCGGCTCTCCGCGGCCCTGCCCGAGGCGGGCGGGAGAAGAGCCCAGCTAGGGGCTCGGCTAGGGACTCACCTCGGACTCTCCCTCCTCTGCCTTTAGAGCATCCAAACCCAGGCGGCAGCGCAGTTCCTGGTTCTCCAGCGTCAGGCTACACGTCTTCTCGCGCAGAAGTCGGTTTTCCAGTAATAGCTTCTGGTTCTGCGGAGAGCCGTGAAGTAGGGAGGCGGCGGCGCGAATCGCAGCCCCCAGCCCCGTCCCCCAGGCCGCTTACCTCCTGCTCCAGCTCCCCGACCTGCTGCTCCAGCTCCGCCATCCGCGCCTTCTTCCTGTCCCGTGCGCTCTGCGCCGCCACGCGGTTCTTTAGCTTCCTACGGGGCAGGGCGGCCGTCAGCGCCGCGGCGCCTCCGCGGCGAGCCCCCACCACCGGCCCCACTCACCTGCGCAACGCCTTCTCCTCCGGGCTCAAGTGGGTCAGCCGCTGACGCTTGCGGGCCGGCGGCGGGTCCTCTAGACCCGGAGCGGTAGCTGTGGCTCCTGCTGGCAGGACAACAGAAAGATGCCGGCCGGCCGCAGGGGACTCGGCCGGTTTGCCAGGGATGAGGAGCAGCCGGGGGGCTGCTGCGCTGGGCAGAGCAGCCATGGCTGGGGATGAGAAGCGAGAAACTGCGTCCCTCCCCACACCGCGATAGCCAGCGCTCTGCGGCCTCACAGCCCCGCCCAGCTTTCTACGATCGTGGCTCTTTCTCATTGGTAGGCACGGCATGACGAGACGTCCTGCCTAGCTCGTGATTGGCTTTCTGCTGAGGGCAAGCGGGGAGGCAGATTGCATCAGACGCTGGGGCCGGTCAGTAAATACGTGGCGAAGGGGCGGGCTCATAGGGACTTCCGGGTGTTTGGCCTAGGGCGGGCTGGGCGCGAGCTGTGTCCATCCGGGCCTCTCGGTGCTGCTGTTGTCGATGCTGTGGCACTGGTGGGGCGGGGGGGGAGGGGGCTCGGTGCAGTGAGGAGAGTGTCGAGGAGGGACCCGGCAGGTCAGTCACGAGCTGAAACCGGGGGAAGGCACAGCTCTGTGGGAGCACGAGTGCCGGGAGCAGCTGTAACAGATGCCATGGGCATGGGCGAAAAATAAGCTGAAAGAGTAAAAAAGCTGAGAGGAGGTTGGCGGTTGTTGAGCAGAAGCCTCAGGAGAGCGCGCTCGAGTCCCTGAGGATTACCCGTGCGCCCACCGCAGAGGCGGCCGTGCTGTAGTTAGCGGCGGGAGCGACCGCTGGTGCCTGAGGAGGGGCCGGAGCCGGGAGCCCTGGGCCCAGGCCGGTGCGGGGACGGAGGTGGAAAGCTTGGAAGCACTGCACATGGGAGTGCCGCGGATGGGCAGCGTTCAGGCTGCGGGGCACAGCCGTGGGCACAAACACACGCAGCCACCTTGGGCACTGGGTTGTCCGAAATGCCTTGGCGCCCGAAGCTTTCCATGCAGATGCCCATAACACGAGGTAGCTGTGAAATGTTGGAACTTCAGCTGTTTACGTTTATTTCAGGAACTCCTCTGTACACTGCATTGAAATTCGTTCAGGTCATAGCTGTAGTTAAGTCCTGTAACTACAGGAAAAATATGAACCTTAAAAGCTCAAAGGCACTGGTGAGCTGGTTTGGCATTGCTCCAGCACTGGATTTCTGCCAGGCCTTCATGATACAGAGAACAAGTTGCTTTTGTGAGTTGGTGTTTGTTCTTCCCTTACTCGCTGCAGCGTGACGTTTACTTCAGGCTGAGAATTCACCCTTCTACTTTGACACCTTTGTGTATAATACAGCTAGTGTTCAATAAGCCTTTTAGGCTAAGTGCAAAAAGGTTGTTCTTGAATTGCTAAGCCCGTCAGATTTCCATCACGAAAATTTACCTGCTGCTCCTTTGTACATCTCTTCTGGCTTTGGACTCATGTTTTTTTCTGCAGTTCTAATTCCCAGTTAAAAACACCATTGTTTTTTAACAAAATGCAGGTCTAGTATTAATGCCTTTCTCTGATTTCAGACATTCATTTCAAGTATGCTGCCCTTCTTTACAGCAAACATGCCCCTGCTTGTGCTGTTTTCTGATATTTATAGCTATACTGGTGAGACTAGCCATGATGTGATTTATCATATAGATACCCAGACTTCCTAGCATTATAGCTGAAGACAAATCCAAACTTCCTGTCTATATGTGATTTAATTCTCCTATTTAATTTCATATGGAACCAGAGAAAAGGCAACTTTCTCTTTTTGCAACATTTGTGATCATGACTAAGCTTCAGAAGTGCAGAGATATATATGCTAGTTACTGAGAAAACGTTTAGGCTCACAAATACTGTGTTACTACCATTAGAACACATAAAGTCTTTTATTAAATGTATGGGTAAGTCACGGGGTGAAAGAGTAGCAAAGAAAAGTTTGGTAAAGATGGTCTTATAGTGAGACACCCTTTCAGAAAACTGATTAAAAAGCTTAAAGTTTAATTCTGATTTTTCACCTTTCCCTTCCCTCCCAGTCCCAAACCCAGTGTTTACACATTCCAGGTTTTGTCATTGAATCCAAGCCTCTAATCCACATGACAGTACTCTAGGTCTTCAAGAACAGGGAAAGAAAATTGAAAGAAGAGGGTCTAGAGAAAAGATAGGTTAACGAAAAACCATAGTCTGAGAAAGAGCTTGTTTGCCCAATGTGTATCTGAAAACACTTGGAAAGTAGTCCAGGGCCCCAGGCTCATGTCCACAGCTGGAGTATTCCCAGATCTGTATCAGTAGCTGATTAGATGAGAAGGGGAACTGTTCTACAGCCTAAAATGAGGTAATTCCAAGCCTGCAATGTTTGTAATTAACTTTGTAGTCATTTTACTTTCTCTTAAATTTCATTAGTGGGATTCAGGAGTGCACTTCTCAAAATTCTGGTGCCCTTAGTCTTAAGGTGGGGGGTAACCATTGCCTGCCTGTGAGACTCTACTAGCTTGGTTGCTGAGCTCATTGTCAGCTGGAGCAGGGGAAAAGTTTCACTTCAGCCATGTTATTCAGTTGTCTGGGGTACTGGCAACCCTTTCTTTCAGTCTTAACAGTTGAGGCTTTTTGGGAGCACACGTGGGGTTCATGCTGTTCCTTGTGCTCTGAGTGGAAGGGTTGTTATAGGGGGTGAGGATTATTTACAGACAATGCGATAATAAAGAGTATAGTGCTTTTAATCAGTCTGGCAAGCCTAGTCGAAACAATGACTTACCTTTTCTTCAGCAAAGAGGTGATACTCCTTTAGTATGGGAATTATGCAGTATCTGTGTCTTTTGCCTGCTGCATGGAACTGCAGCCTATCCATGTGCTCTGGGAACTGACACTGGCTTTGCCTACTGCATGGAACTGCAGCCTATCCATGTGCTCTGGGAACTGACACTGGCTTTGCCTTCCCTTAGCACTGCCACGAGCAAGTAATGCAGAAAAGTGATATTTTTTTTTTCCTCAGCTATCATTCCTTCTGTATTTATATTTATTATTGAGACTCTGCCTCACTGGCCTCTATGATTGTTTCCAGAGTATGACCAGAAAGCTGTGTAAAAGACCTAGTAAGTCCAACTTTAAACCCTGATTCTTCTGCAAGTGTCTTGCAAATGTGTACCTTGTGTTCCAGTTCCTTGTCCTCATGTTCCACCAGCATACATTAGTGGTACCTGTTACCCAAAATTATAGGACTAGTGAGTAGGTCTGCCTCTGTTCCAACTTGGATCTATGTAGTGGGCCACAGGCAATGGCTAGAGATTCTTACTTTGATAATCTTTATGGCTAAATCCTGTGACCTAACTGATTTTGTAGTGAGGGAGAGATTCCATCACACTTGTACCTTGAGTGCCTTCTGTTACAGCTCTTTTTCCAATACCTTCAGAACTTCATGCTGGAGATCCCTCTGTATTTTCCCCACAGCAGTGTCTTAGTCACTACAGGCAGCAGCAGTTGGCTCAGGCAGCATGTCTTGTGACAGAAATCACATGGCCTCATAGTAGGCTTCTCTGTCTCCCCATCCTAACAGAATCATTTCTCCTGTCACCACAGTTAAGGAAGCCTTGCTTCTGATTCACAGGAGAAGTCTGAGTTAATTCAGACAATTCTGTTAGTGTTTCTAGAACAAAGATACTCTGCAAGTTGGACCTTTTACAATGTCTTTTTTTCAGGAAGAGAGGGCCTCCCTTCCCTGTCACTCAAGTCCCCAGCAGCCACAGACACTGAGGCTCACCTTGGAGCTCCTCATGGCAGTTTAGTACCATTGCCTACATTCACAGAGGTTATGCCCCATTCCACGTTTAGTGGTAGCTTAGTAGCAATAGATTTCATGCAGTACTTCATAGCAAAGGCAGGTGGGAAGCACACTTCCACAGAGCAGTGGTAGATGCATGTACAGCAACTGATTAGCTTACTTTTTGAAAAATACGAACCTATGTTGTTGCTCTCTCCAGTAGTAACCTTTCTGCACCACAGCTTGCTTTTGTTAGCAAAATGATCTCATGCTTCATGGCTTCCCATGTTTTGAGTGTGGAATTCCTTTTTTTAACGTTACAGAATACAATGTGGCAGATTTCTCTTAACAAGGCCTAAAAATACATTGTCTCAATTTGGATTTATAACACTAAATTTAAGCTCAGGCAACCTACATAGAGAGCTCAGAATGTTCCTTGCATCTACATACCTTGTTTTCCCTGAATTTCCCTTGTATTGTAATTTCCATCTGCTTCATTGTGTTAGACTCCTCTGAAACTCAAGAGTTCTCTGGTCTCGGGCAGGACCAACTCACATGTCATTCTGCAGGACTTGCAATTATTTGCCAGTTGAGTACTTTTCCCAGAACTCTGACTTGCTCATTGAACAGCAGCCTGCCTGCTAAGCACCACTCGCATCTGCAAGTTGATCTCTCGTTGTCATGAAATGCTGGTTATAAAGGGAAAGCCTACTTGTTTACAAGGACATTCCAGTACTTTGGAAGAAAGAGCTCTTGATTTGATTTGGTCTGTCAGACTGAGAACCAAATTTCTCTTGCACATTCAGAGACTGGAGCACACTATTCATGAGAATTTAAAAGAAGACAAGATATCCACACCACAGTGAAGGGAAAGGCTTGCTCCCCACCCTGTGCTACGACTGTGAAAATGAAGCATTACCAGAAAGCTTCGCAAACACTGGTCATGTAAACACATTTTTATACATAGAAGCTGGGTGCCCTTGGGAGGGTTTATATCACGCTGAGAGACTTCACCTGGGAACCAAACAGCATTGGAACAGCTGGCCAGGGAAGCAGGCTCAAGTCAGAGAGTCTGTTTGGTGGGCATGCCAACTCGGTGATATATAAAGGAATCCTGCAGGTCAAGGGAAGGTTGTGGTTGTTCAGTGTTTTACTTTGGGGCTTGGGTTTGTTCTGGCTTCTGTTTCTAACCAACTTGCTTAATATTGAGCCTATCCCACTCCACACCATTCCTCTAGCCATGACTCTACTTCATTGCATGGATTCCCTTTCCCTTTCAGTGATTTAGCTGTTGGCATCTCTGGTGGTTAGGTGCTGTTTGATTGTAGTATCTGTTTCCATGCTGTAGTACTACTTTAGCTCTTGAGCCATTTTCTGTCTAACTTGGTCCCAAGAGCAGTGTTCCCCTGCAAAGGTCAAAGTTCTCTTCATAGTGCTG